GGGGCGCCGTTTGGTTCTCTGCGTTTTTGTTTGGCTTTTGCGGCGCGGGGGTTGTTTTTGGATTGCATTCCGACATGTTGTGTTTTGCAAGTATCGTGCTTATGGTCTGTTCTTGCGAGATGTGGATGCTTCCTTGTGCGTCGCGTGTTATTTGCCATCCGAGGTACGAATGAGAGAAACCGAGATTTTTGATGTTGTACTTTTGCTTGAGGGCGGTGAGTAGTTCATCGATGAGTGCTTGGTTTGAAGCGGTGACGAGGAAGTCGTCCATGCTTACAGCGAACATCAGTGTGCCCGTTGTGTGTGTTTTGGTGAATAGACATGGATCGCTGTCGCATTGCTGATAGCCTTGCGTGATGAGGTGTTTCTGAAGGCCGGCGGTGTAACGGTGGCCGGCGGATCGGCCCCCATATAGGTTGCCTATTAGTTGTCCCGCTTTGGTGCCGTGCTTGAGGTTGCCGTCGAATCGGGGGAGCTGTCTCACATAGACGGGGAAGCGGGGGTCATATGTCTCGTGTAAGTAGGCGGACGTGATGTTCATGTACTGTAGCGGCCATCTGTGTGATGCGGCGATTGCTAGGATTGTGCGCACTGACGTTTTCTCTGCCATGAAAGTGGACGTTTGTTTAGGGTCGAAGTGTTTGCCTGGCTGCATGCGGTCGCCTCGTATGGAACAGCGTGCCTTTCGTTTTGCTATTTTCCCTGTTGGTGTACGTTTGTATCTGTACGTCATCGTGAGGGGTATGAGTTTTTCGTGCGGGGGCACGTCTGATGGCGGTATCCATTTTATCGTGGTCTGTTGGTCCAGCATGTCTAATTCAGCGTTCTGTGCGGTCTCCCATTCTGCCGCGTCCGGGTACTGCCGTGCTGCGTGGGCATGGCGTGGTGCTGTTGTGGTTTGGTCGATGGTTCGTGGTGGTGGTATGTATCGGTGCTTGTTGTTGCTTTGTGCTCGCGGTTTGGGTCTTGTCAGTTTGGTTTTGAATGCGTGCGTTGACGTGTGTGTGGGATCCCGGTGTCGTGAGTATGGTTTGAAGTCGATCGCTCGGATGACCCTGTATCGCGCACTGTTTATCGTGATGGTCATGATGTGCGTTTCCGATGTTGGGAACATGTATCGGACGGGTTCGCTGCGAGCTTGGAGTTTGGTTTTGTGTGCGTGAATAGGTGCCGTTCCGATTCGCCCGAAGGCGAAGATGCGTGTCATGCGCGCTGGTCTGCCGTGCCATAGGCTCCACGGGCTTTTTTTGGTGACGCTGTGTCTCATTATGTTGTACTTGAAGACAACATCGCGTACTGCGTCCTCCCAAAATTGGGGTGGTAGTGACGCGTGATGAAGTGCTGCTCTGGCACTTGTGAACAGCGTTTTGTTGATTCTTTCGGCAATAGAATTTTCTTGTGGCTGGTGGGGGGTGTTGGTTATGTGCTGTATGCCGTGAGATTGATATGTGCTTTTTGCGTGCGTCGATGTGAATTCTTTAGCGTTGTCTGTCCTGTACGCTTGGGGGAGTTTGTTTTGTAGGGACAACGTGTGGAACAACTGCGGTATTATGGCGTTCACTTCTTGTCTCTTGCGAATGTAGTAGGTGCCCAGGTATCTGCTGGCCGTGTCTATGCAGGTGAATATGTGTGCATTTCCGTGTGTTGACGGGGGTGTGATCGGGCCGCATGTGTCTGAGCTGAGTTGCTCTGCGATTTGTTGTGAGTGGTGTGCGGTTGGGTGCGGCCGGGGGGATTGTCGAGCGTGCGCACATGAGGAACAGCTGATGGGTGGGGGGGCGCCTTGGAGGCTGGCTGGGAGGTTAGCGATGGTTCCTTCCTGTGCCATGCGTTGGAGCGCTTTGGGCGGGGAGTGGTTGAGGGCGAGGTGCCACTCGTACGCTGTTGCTGTGGTTTTTGTCAGTTGTTTGGGTGTGTGTGGATTGGGGTCGTGGAAGTGTTGTATTTTTGGCGATCGGGTTTTGGTGGGTGTGCGATTTGGCAATAGGTGTGCTGATTTTGTCGCTGATCGGGGTGGGGTGGCCTGTGCTGTGGCCGTTGGTTGCTTGGTCGTCGTGCGGTTGTTGGCTCGTGTTGGCATAGTGCGTGCACTTTTGGCTGTGTGTCGGGTGGTGCTTTTTCGGGGTGACCAGGCATAGGCGTGCAGTGATTTATTCCATGGAGCCGTGCCGACGACTTTGTTTCGTCTGTCCCTGATGTGTGCCGTATTTGTGTCAAATGTCACCGGGCACTTTAGTGATGCTAGAGCGTGGACAGATACTAGTGTGTATGGAATGTTCGGGCTGTGTACTGCTTTGAGGCGTAGGGGGTACCCCTTATTGGTATATGTCTGAATGGTGCCGGCGTGGGTGCATATCGTGAGTTGGTTAGTTGCTGTGAGAGATTTTGTGGGATGGGCGAGGAGCTTCATGTGTGGTAGGGGCGGGATGTGTGCGTGGGATGCGCTGCCGAGTCTAGGATGAACGCACCCGCCTCGCCTTGGTGGTGGTCGGGTTCGGTGTCGGTGTCGTCCATGTTGAGCTCACTGTAATGCGCGTCGTCTGGTTCGAGGATAGCTCGTGCCTTGGGGGCGGGTCGCCGACGTGCTGTCTTTTGATTCTGCGGATGTGTTTGGTCTCGACATTCGCTGTCCGCGTGTTGCGGGTTCCTGACGCCCTTTGAGATGTGATGGCGGCAGGGGTTGGTGTGTTTTGTGGCGGGTCGGCGTATTTGGCGGGGTTGGGGGCGCCGCGCGTGGGTTGGTAGGTACGCTCGTGGGCTGGCTGCTGCTTTTGGCCAAGGGTTGCTTGGTTGGATGGCTTGACGGTATGTTTCGACTCGATTGTATTTGTGCACGAAGTCCTTCACGTCTTTTGGTTGCAGTGACAGGAGCTGGAGTCCGATGTCTACTGTTGTTGGGTTGTGTTTGAGGCCTTCGATCATGTAGTCTACTGTTGTGCTCTGTTTGGCGATGTCGGGGTAGCGAGCCGCGATCATTTGCGCCCTAATGGTCTCATGGCGTTGGACGTATTCATAGATTGATTGGCCTGGTTGGATGTGGCACTGTTCCGCTAGTTGTTTTAGGTACAGGTGGTCACTCGCATTCGTTGTGTCGAGATGGGCTTTGAGCTTCTCAAGGATGTCGTGTGGTGTGGGGTTCTCGTCAGGCATAAGAAGGAGGTTGATGATGTCCGCTGGAATTGTGGCTAGCATTTTGCCCAAGAGTTTGTGCCTGGCGTGGAGGTAGGATTTTCGTTCCTGCTCGTCGTCTGGGGTGGGTGGGTTGCCCTCGATATGTTCGATTGCATCTTGTGTGTAGGCTGCGGATTTTATGGCCAGGAGCCATGGTCCGTAGTTAGATCGGTCGAGCTTGAGGATATCCTTAATGTCCATGGTGGTGAGCGTGTGAGATCGTTGTTGCCTGGGAGGAGGGATGTAGAGAAGGGCTGCTGGATGCAGGAGGTTGGGTGTTGATGAGGATTCGGAAAGGGGGCGGCGGGGGCGGGTTGTGATGCCTGTCTTTCCGGCTGGTCTGTTTGCAGACGCTCAGCGGCTGCGAGTGCGTGTAGCGCGATCCAGTTTGCGTTCAGTTGATGGTGTGTCGTAGTGGTGCGAAGCGGGCCATAACCTGATGAATCGTAATCCTCATGGGGGTGTCTTTACTCGTCGTCGCCGTCTCGTGGGTCTAAGTACCGCTGGTGACAGACTGTAATGCTGACAGCCTGTCCTTGCGGTCCGTCAGTAGCTATGGTCCCCGCTAAGTTTCCGGTCGTTTATTTCCCATATAACCAATCAGAGCAGTGTATATTCCCAACCCCTTCTGAGAGGCTCTGAGGGGCCCTAAATACGGACACGAGGATTCGCTGCGCATATCGCAGGCAATGCGCATAATCGGGGACGCATATTAAGGTACATCGACTGTACTACCCTACCCCCAGCGCCTACGTACAGGGGGGGTCGCTCAATAGTGCCTACTTTAGTAGTGCTTCCCTCTATATAGTGCTATGGCTCACCCTCTGGCACAGGTTATCACACGCTCACACGTGTATCATCCGGCATGGTTCAGTACTCAAAGGATGAAGTTATTTAGTTGTGTTCTACAGGCTTTGTTGTGTTTGTGTTAGCAGTGTGCTTTGTCCCCAAATATATGTATTTGAGCCTCCTTTCTATAGTGCCATCCCCCCAATAGTGCCATAGCTAGAGGTATGTCACGCTATAGCACTATATCGTAGGAGGCACTGTACTAGAATATCCGCACTCGAGGCCGGTGGACAACCCACACTTATCTACTCCCACGAGCCCCCCCTCCGTGTTTGCCTCCCGGCAGACTCTCCTGTGCGGCGTGATACGCCAGCCCGTTCCCACGCTCTAAGATACTTGTAGACTCGAGAGAGTTGCTGCAGCGCTTGTTTTCGACCAGGACAACGCAACAATTCCTCGCATCGTCACTTATTATGAACTATTTCATCTTTGGACCACACGTTACTTGTTGGGGCTTCGGCGCATCTACGAACGTCCCCTTCCTTGCCTACACTGACGCTTTCCTCCAGAGCCTTCCTTCTCTCTCCACAGCCAGCAGTCGCTCCCGTAAATCCCATCTACCCCACCTTGACCGTGTTATTTCTCGCAAGTATCCCTTCACTTCACGGTACACGATTGACAAAGACGAGTCATTACAGTGAGCTCTCGTCTCTGCAAGTAAACACACCCAGACTTTCACATCAAAACCTCCTAGATTCTTCCAAGAAATGAAGACGGAGAGATTGGGCGAAGAGATGGCCTTCGACGATCTCGCTGAAAACACCATCATCGTCCTGTTGGCCTACACCGCCGCCTTCCTCCCGTGGACTGCTCTCACCACCTTTGACTTTATCTCTGCCAAATGGCGCAGGGTACGTGACGTTCGTATCGCCGGCTACGTCAACCTTGTTCTCGCGCTAGTCCCGGCAATCTACATACTGTTTTACATGGTCGTGCAATCCAATGTCGATCAAAAGGAGATGTTCACTGCGCTGGTCGCTATGCTGTTTGCGTTGCTGCACGTTGTGCGGACGTTATGGGGACTGTGGCAGTTGCAGCTATTTGTCAAGTGGGCTGTCAAGAGCATTAAGTCGTTGCGGGCCCTTGGGATTGAATATGAGCTCAACACGGGCGCCCGTACTGGCTATGATGGGAAGAAGCAAACCCAGAATGGCGAAGAAAGAGAACAGGAAACCACGAATATCGGTACTACGCAGGAGCCCGGAAATACCGACGACAAGGAAAAAGTGCACTCTGTGGCTGAAATTGTAGATGAACTATGGGTGAGCGATGAACTGATTGAGAACCGTGTGTCCCATGGGAATGCTCGGTGCTACATAGTGTTTGACAAGATTGAGTTTAGAATAGATCCAAAGAGAAGAAACGTGTTTCGTCAACGAATCGTGCTTCTGTTACAGGCGCTCTCGATACCATTTCGGTATGTGTATGGAATAGTGCAGAAATGGCTTGGGAATGGGTCTATACCCTGCTTTGTCCAGGTACCGCACGAGCCAGAGGATGTGTGGCTGCGATGGTGCGTGGCGTTTGCGGCGCAGGGGTTGAACAAGTGGATAACGGAGTTCACCGTTGCGCCGGAAGTCGATGATGAGGATGGGGCGATAAATAACTTGGAGCGGTACGAAAGACGACGAGAACACCTGGCTGGGCGCGTGCTGGCGACGGCCGGAATACAATTGTGGCTGGGGAGTTGTTTGCCGCTGGGTGAAGGCAAGTCGCTTTTGTCAAAAGAGGACTTGTTGCGACGAGCGATGACGAGTGGACGTGGAATGCCGTTCGATGCAGTGCAGAGGAATGCGGTCTTGCGGCCTGGAAAGGGGTACAAGGCCTATGAGAGAAAACTAAATCGACTCATTAATGGAATTCCGGTGGAGTTTGAAGAACAAGTGGAAGAGTTGGACATCGAGAGAGTGGAGTGGCTTGCGATTTTGCTGTACATAGGAGAAGAACGGATTGGCAACGGAAGTGCGAGCAGAGATTCTCGTAGATCTGAAGAGTATGAGAAACTGGAGCATGACGATTTAGCGATTGAAAATATGCGAGCACAGCTGGGCATGGGCAACAGAACTTCAGGAGTGGATGCAGCGGAAAGAAGGAATGCTAGCATATGCGGGTTTACGATGCCAGAACGATACTTTCATGAAGTATCCAAAGAGAATAGACTGGTGACCAAGGTCGGGGACCTTGTCGACTGCTGGTTAGCGCTTATAGCGGGAGTGCAAATGCAATTCCTGGTGAGTAAAGACGAAGAATGGCTAGGACGTTGTCTGGGTCAAGTCGAACATGACCAAGAGACTGTGGTGAGCGTAGAAGGCGTGGAGATGGGAGGGATGGAAAAGAGGGGGAGCAGCCTCTTCATGAGACATGTTCGAATTGAAGAAGCGATGCAAGCATTCCAGTTTGGAGTCGTGGGTCAAGAGTTTGAGCAGTTGGAGCAGACATTGACGTTTATGGGATATTCGCTGGAGAGCGTGCGTACGAGACTGGGAAGGTGGGTGAAAGCGAACACGGACTCGCAGAGTGGGGCGTGGAGGCCTTTGATGTTTCAAGCGGGGGAGTTGATATCGGGGTGGACGGAGGTTGGGCGTGTATCGAATGATGTGTCACGTACCCTGCGGCAGAGAGAAGGGAATGCAGTACTGAGGGATCGGGCGGTGCAGTGTCGTGTAGTGTGGGAGTTGCAATGTGTTTTGAGGGAAAGGGTATCGGGAATGGAAGGGAGCCCGAGCAGTATGGTAGCGGTGGCGCTTTGCATGGTCAGTTTTCCGTCGCTGGTTGTGATGAATACAGAAGAAGCGAGCGAGGAAATCAGTGACACGGATGTGCGGTCAAGCGAGGCAGGGGGGGTGGCAATCTCGGAAAATCGAGATAGTGTGTCAGTATCATTCGGGAATGAGCAAAGAGGTAGGGATGCGGAAGAAGAGAGGAAGAAACGGAGCGAAGAAATGTTTGTGATAGTGCCGATTTGTGGGCCTCAGAGAATGAGGCTTCAGGTACAAGTGGGCGACGATGACGATTGGAGCAATAGAAGTGGAGCGGGCGATAGAGGATGCAAAGTGAGAGTACGGTTGTGCCGGGGGGCGGCATCGCGAGATGAGCGGTTTGAGTGGGGATGGTGGCGGGAGGCGGCGTTGGGACGTATGGAGGGATTGAGGCGATGGCAGAAGAATCATGGTATGTGTTCGCCAGACTTGCATGCCGGGCACCGGAATATGACGTCAGGCATCGTGTGTGTAAAGCCAAGAGCACACAAAACGGGGACAGAGGTTGAGATGTGGTCGGGATGGGAACCGTTTCGAAGCCAGCAATGCAGATTTGAGCTAGAAGGGGACAAAGTTCTTGCGAAATTTGAAGTGAGCATGCGACACGGTGATCTCGTTGTTACAAAGAAAAACATTGCGACATCCCACACCCAAGCCGTCGGGGAGAGAAGGTTCACGATGTACGAAGACAATGACCGCGAGGCCTTACAAGACGGATGTTTGATAGTAGGAGAAGCACTGGTTGATAAGTCGCCAGGTTGCTTGAGCTCAGTCAGGGCTGGAGTATATGAAGATGAAGAGTTTGCGAAGAACCTGCCAGCAAAAGGCGAAAATGTTATTGGGGAAGAGTTGGGCCAGGTCCGAAGAGACATTTTTCTGTTGAAGGTTGCTGCACTGGAGCATGGTGATATGAACGCGTTGCAGAGATGCGTGAAGCTCCTCACCGACTCGAGTGAGGAGATCACAGAACACATGATATTGACGAACAGGCGACGAGCTGGAGAATTGGTGCTAGCTTTTTTCCACAGTGTTTTTGTGAGCAGAAAGGGGAGTGGCGGGGTCAAGGGGGGTGGAAGAGAGTTTGAAGCGTTGTTTTCATTATTACAAGAGCTTGTGGAGAAATCGGCTTTTGACAACTATGTCGTGGATGTGGTTCTGGATTTTCTGAAATGCGCAGTAGATCTGCGTATACCTGAGGATGTACGAAGCTGCCTCATATGGATGCGAAGGTTGATAGCAAGATCACTGAGATTGGATAAGTTGGATTGTCTTTGTCGCAGTTTTGAAGAAATACTTGGAGCGGAACGAGGGCAAAGAGTGGCTATCCATCGGAAGCAGTTGTTCTTCACGGACAGTGAGGTGACCGAGTACGACGTGCGTACTGTTAACATTTTGGAAAAGGCTCTTCTGGAACGCCAGATTGAGGAGCATGATGATGTCCCGGCGATGAACAAGCTAGGACTGATGGTGCATAACGGCGCAGAAGGAGTAGAAGCCGATGTGGTACGCGCAATGGAGCTTTATGAGCTTGCAATATCGAAAGGCGATGATGGCTCTGCGATGAACAACCTAGGTTGTTTGTTAGAGAAGGGAGGGGAGGGGGTCGGGAAGGATGCGGTACGAGCCAAGGAGTTGTTGGAGCGTGCAATCAATGAGCATGATCATGTCGAGGCGATGAACAATCTAGGACTGGTGGTGGAGGAGGGCGCAGAAGGAGTAGAAGCCGATGTGGTACGCGCAATGGAGCTTTATGAGCTTGCAATATCGAAAGGGGATGACGGCTCTGCAATGTGCAACCTTGGTTGTTTGTTGGAGACCGGAGGGGAGGGGGTCGAGAAGGATGCGGTACGAGCCAAGGAGTTGCTCGAGCGTGCAATCAATGAGCACGATTTTGTCCCGGCGATGAACAGTCTAGGAGTGATGGTGGAGGAGGGCGCAGAAAGAGTAGAAGCCGATGCCGTACGCGCAATGGAGCTTTATGAGCTTGCAATATCGAAAGGCAGGAACGGCATCGCGATGTACAATCTCGGTATCTTGCTGAGAGGCGGGGCGGAGGGTTTGGATTGCAATTTGGTGCGCGCGGCTGAGCTGTTTGAGATGGCCATTGAAGAGGGCAACAACACAGACGCAATGGTGGAACTCGGAAATCTGCTACGCGATGGAGCGGAAGGAGTCCAGCGGGATACAGATCGTGCATGCAGATTGTACGAGAGGGCCATCAAAGAGGACAACCATTCCGAGGCTGTAGAGAATCTTGCTGCGCTGCGCGATGTCACAGAAGACGGAGATTGAACGATTTCAGAAGTCAGCAAGAGCACTCTCCCGAACGGAGATGGCGGGTGCCGTCGGGGAGAGCAGAAGGGAAAACCCGAGGCTCAAGGCGAGTAGAGTTCCCTTCGTTAAGACCCCTGTAGAAGATGGGATAAAGACGTGGTTCCTACCGTCCGGCAGCGACGGATAGATCGCCTATGCCGAGTTCAACCCCTTTATCGGGACAATGAACTCGGAGGCAGCGGCCGGCGCTAGTGTCTAGACGACCGTCAATTTGACCTCATATGAGGCTAGCTTTTTTTTCAAAAAAATATAAATTAAATCGAAACTTTAAAAAGTCAGTTTGGACACCATTTCTTTAACGTATACGCCCTCGGCAATAACATCTTGCAAAACATTGGGATGGCGGTTGTCAATGCACAGAGAGACTAATGAGAATCTAATGAACTAAGAATCTAATGAAGTTTCAATGATCAGTTGACTTTTTAAACAGGCGTTTTGGTTTCGAAGATATCAACATAAACGTTTTGAGGTTGGTCAAAAAGGCTCCCTTTTTGGGCATTTTAAAAATGGCTGGAAAAGACGTGCAGATCTCACCAAACTCCATCCTTCCGCAACGCAGAAGTCAACTGCGGTGGCGAGAGTATCTTTTTCCATCTTGTTGAGTTAGCGCAAGTCGAGAAAAAATAAGTTGAAAAGTGACCTCATATGAGTTCATTTGTCACCTAGACACTAGAGGGCGCCCGCCTCAGGCTGCACCCGGAACGGAGAACGGAATCAGGACTTGTCGAGGTGGCGCAACGGAGGAGTCCTTTTGCTCTCGCCCCGTCGCCGCTTTAGCTTTCAACACTCATTTGACCTGTTGTGGTTGGTCGCTGGTGCAATCCACGGGCATCCCCGACTACCCCGAACCGGTTAAGCAGTTTCGTTCGGTCGTGCCGTCTTTCGCCTTTGTAGTATCCTGCGCTTCCACCTCCGCCCCCGCTTGGGTTACACGCACGCACTAGTATGTAATGCGCAAGAACTTGACAAGTAGGGTTGACGACTCAAGCTCAGAGAGCGAGGCGCAAGATGCGAGAACTTGACAACTTGAACGGATCGCTTCGTATCTATGTTTCATTTTCATTGTGCACGTAGTACAATGAGATATCCCTCTCCAGATTGTGCGAGACCCTGTATGCCGGCGATCGTGTCAGAGAGCGGAAGAGTGGGAGACCGCGCGCTCCGATTGCGATCCGAGCAGTCGGTCTTCTTTCTTTCTGACCTTGCCAAGGATGGCGAAAAGACTGCCTTTTGCACTTCTATGTGGCAATGACTAGAGGAACTTTACCCCCACCAACTACGTCCTCTTCCAACGATCACCGCCAATATCCCCTCTTGTTACACCCGAACCAGTCATGTTTGCCAGCCCCAGCAATCAAGAAGTAATCAAACTTTACTTTCACAATTGTTTTTACTCGCAGCTCTAAAAGATACGCATCTCAAACCCAGCATCTGTGTGCATTCGCACTTGATTGTAAAACCAAGTATTCGATCGCCACTTGCTTGCATTCCACCACCACCGTTAGGGCGTTAGGGCGTAAAAGAGGCCCCATTTCCGAACCAACATTCTGTGAGCGTCCGTATAGTTTCCTCGTTTTCCTCGACTACATCTCAGAAGCCAGGTTTCCATTGTGCTTTCCAACTCGCTCCCTGAACGTGGTGGGAGTCCAGTTGTGCCCTGCCCATGTTTTGCGTTTCCGTTCTAGAGGTAGTGGTTGACATCATGTTCTCGCACCTGCTGACAGCTGCTGGGCGAGATACCGAGCTGGTTGGACACAAGAACTGGCGAAGACTCCAAACGCCGCGAGACTCGAGTGTAAAATCTACGTTTCAGCACGGTACAGTTGGTCTCTATATGGGGTACTCATTCTTTTCGAAGCGCCCTCAAGGAGCTGGCGGGTGCAATCGAAAGGGGAGGGAGATAAGCAAATGATACGAAGGGGTTTTTTCAAACGACTGGAAATGCGTGGATTGGAATACTTGTGGCTTGCAACAATGAGAGAATCGTGCGATTCTCTTTGGGCTTCATTTCCGCTTAGCGCAGTACTCGATAGCGCGACTTGTGTGGGTGCTCTTCTGACATGCAACATTGATTGTTGGACAAATGGCCCTAGTGTTTTTCGATCATTTGCCAAAGAGAACTTGGAAGCTGACCTTGGAGCATCATATTAACGGTTGAGATACTTTGTATAAGCTCTTGGATGTGAATGGCTCTTCCTCTGTACGTGCACAAGGGTGAGGTCATGGAGTGTTACATAATTGCCATTTTGTGCAATGGGCGGCGCACGTCGGTTCGCGGATGTCGCAGTAGCAGTAGCAAGAGCCTCGAGCGGTTGGGCAGCGGTTGCAGTGGAGTTGAAGGGGGACGCCCAATGTACGTGGGTCCGCCCGAGTTTGTGTCGATTGCGGCGCTGTGGTGACGGCGAGCCAAGCACGTTGCGCCGCGATGTGGAGGAGGATGTAGGTTGCAGTGCTGGGACCAGCAAACAACGGCGTGAAGCTCAAAGTTGGTCCAACCTGATCTACGGTAACAGGCGCCTGCTCTCCTTTGCTCCCAGGAAGATAGGAGAGCAGATGCCAATTAGATTAGGCTTCGGGAAAGTAAGGCCGCGACACAGGAGATAATGCGCACGTACTTTGGAAGGACGCGGTGTGGGCCCGGGCGGAGCTTCAGACTGGCCAAGCCGCCTTACTACACGACGGATCGTGTGATAAGGCGGCTTGGCTTGGCTGGGCTGGGCATGGCTTAGCTTGGCGTGTGAGAAGGTCTTGCGCACCGGCACTGTGAAGCGGCAGTAGTTGGCCCAGCCACCGCAATTGTGCCGCTGCGTATGGCATCGTCATCGCCCCCAGCTGTGCTGGTGGCCACGCTGTCAGAATTTGATTTACAGAACAAACGGCAATGCCCAGAAATGCCGTCGTCGACGAGGGATCCCGGATGCAAGGAGCAGACTGTTCGGAGGACCGCAGATTCTCCGATGTCCGGCGGAGGGGGAAGGTCGGCAGGGGAGAGCGGGACGAGATGTGTGCGGATGGGGCGGGGTGAAGGTCGCCGAGGGCCGCAGGAGTAGCGGGGTCGTTGAGGTCTGCGAGCGGGCTGTTCGTAAGGGAGCGCGTTGCGCGAGAGTATTGGGCCTCGCGATGGAGGCGGCGGATGACACCGGCAGTGGCGGCCGCGTCGAGAGTCTGAGCGGTGAGCAGCAGGGGAGGCGTGAGGACAGTAAAGTCGTCGTAGACGCGGCGGGCGTGAGCGAGAATAACGGGCGATGGTGGCAGAGGCGTCAGCGGGGCGAGAGAGGGGTAGCGGCGAGTTGAGCGCTCCGGCGGAAGGCCGCCTGGGTGGTCTCGAAGGAGGCGAACGCGAGGGCTGGGGGCGCCGTGGGAGCGATGGCGATCGAGGTGCTGGCGGTGGGGGAGGAGCGGGCGAGCCGGTTTCTACGCGAATCGGGGCGCCGACGGTGCGCACTGGCGTGTGAGCGGCGGGGATGAGAGCGGGTCGGGCAGAGGTCGGGTCGGAGAGGAGAGCTCGAGCTTTGGCGAAGAGTAAGGATCGGTCGCGGTGAGCTCGCGGGTACGTGTGGGAGATCAAAATTCCCGGATGCGATCATCCTGCACGGGCCAGGCGCGGGAGACAACGACGGGGCCGCAATGGAGGCCTAGGAGCGAAGAGGGGCGCTACGAGTCAGAGCGCAGGGGAGCCGCCACGAGTGGGGGCGCAGGCAAGACGGGGTGGGTGCTGAAATGGGATGGGGAAGGGGCGTGCGCATCGGTGCAGATGGTGGGAGACGGCGCGTGGAGCAGCGTTTTGGCGGGCGGGCAGGCGCGATCGGGCTCGGGGGGCTTGCTCAATGCTTGGGGCGGAATCGCAGGCGCTTGCGCTGGCGCCGGCGCCTGCGCCGACGCAACCGCTGCGCACCGCGAAGGCGACAGCGATAGCTCACACAAAGCCATCACAAAATGCACACTGCCATCACAAAATGCACACTGCCATCGCAAAATGCACACTGTCAGTGTGAGAGTTTTGATTTTAAGGTTGACGTTTGAGAGTTTTGAGATGCGTCTCACAAAACCATCACAAAAGATTCACGAAAATGTGTGCTGTTTGAGACGATTTTTGTGATGATCACAAAACGTTCTCAAAAAGTGCTACAATTCAACAAATATTCACAAACCATGTGTGACGAATGAGAAGATGGAGTGAGACGAATGAGATGACGGCGGCGAAAAGAGCAAAACTCTCACAAATCGTCACACAAATCGTCCCACTTTTTGTGACGCCCTAAATCGTCACAAACCGGTGCACAGGGTTAAGACTATCGGCCCTGCGCCGTCGTCTGTGGGTGACAGGGCGTGGTGCGCTTCGTGTGCACGTGTGCACGTGTATGGGTATTATCACACACGGCGTACACGTGGGATAGAGTCGCGATCAAAAGATGTGATCCCTATCGCATCCGGCTTGGCGCACGTGCTGACGTGGCAAGCTCTGTCTCCGATATCGGAGAGGACCCCTTCGTTTCATCAGCCAGAGGGCGCGGTTTCGTTTCGCGACCGATGCGAACCGCAAGTTGCATTCCACGCAAGCTCTCTCGAGCGAAAGTAAGCGGCGGTGAGGAGAAGCCCCGCGCAATAAACGAAGACACAGTCGCACGCTGTTGGAGAAGCGGAACTGTGACCATGTGACCATACTTTCTCTGCCTTGCCTTGTTCTACCCCCTCTATGCTTTACCTCTCAGTTCCTCTCTCAGTTCCTCTCTCAGTTCCTCTCTCAGTTCCTCTCTCTAGGCCTCTTATCCTAGGTGCCATTACGAGCGGTAGCTCGGGACCCGGTAGGCGCTCCAAAGGGCAGCTTTCTTCGCTAGTATGACGTGGCACCCTTTTTCTTCAATTTCTTAGTGAAGCCACCTCCCTCGGCCCTTCTTTGCAGCTAGACGCCTTATTTCGGCAGGGCGGACTGCCGTGCGCCGTGAGATGGCTGATGCCAGGGCGCCAACTGCGTTCTTGAGCTCCTTTTCCTCGCGACTATCAAGGTCATCGCCGTCATAATCTAAATAGCAGAATTGGGTGACCGCTGTTCTGGCAACCCCCCGACCAATCAGGTCGACTTTCTCCCTAGTGTCTAGACGACAAGCAATTTGACCTCATATGAGGTCAGTCATGGCCTCATATGAGGCCAGCTTTTTTTTTGCAAAAATATATAAATTAAATCGAAACTTTAAAACATTCAGTTTGGACACCATTTCTTTAACGTATACGCGCTCGGCAATAACATATTGCAAAACATTGGGATGGCGGTTGTCAATGCACAGAGAGACTAAGAATCTAATGAAGTATCAATGATGAGTTGACTTTTTAAACAGGCGTTTTGGTTTCGAAGATATCAACATAAAACGTTTTGAGGTTGGTCAAAAAAGGCTCCTTTTTGGGCATTTCAAAAATGGCTGGAGAAGACGTGCAGATCTCACCAAACTCCACCCTTCCACAACGCAGAAGTCAACTGCCGTGTCGAGAGTATCTTTTTTCCATCTTGTTGAGCTAGCGCAAGTCGAGAAAAATAAGTTGAAAAGTGACCTCATATGAGGTCAAATGGCCTCATATGAGGTCATTTGTCACCTAGACACTAGAGACCCCAGCACCCCCCGCAGTACTCCCGGGCTCGCAGAAATTTAACGCAAACCCGTCGTCCTGCGGAGGAGGGGCATGATCTAAGAACAGAGGTTCTAGTTTCTCACGTGGGTCCGGAAGACCGTACCAGCCGTCAAGCTGCTCTTTAGCTGTGGCAGACTCCCAATGGTCTACAACTTCAAGATGTCGACCTCCCGCTGAGACCCAACGATCATTGAGGGCGATCCTTAAGAAGAAGTCAGCTTCCGAGAACAGCCCACTGTCAATGATCTGGGCGGTACTGATAGGTCCAACAATTCTACCATCCGTGTCCCCGCACTCTCGGAACAGCGAGAAGAAGCAGTTCCCGTCAGAATTGAGCCTGAGGTGGTACGGGCTTAGTGCCAAAGTCCGGATGACCCCGTCAACGGCCATTTGAGATGCCATGGATATCCAGCCTAGCCCTTTATGCGATTTTGGGTTATTCAGGCATACACTCACTTTCCTGCATGGCTCCATCTTCGGGAACCTGACGCGGGGGTACTTCTCGATTTGTATCCTTGTCGGCTCAAGTATCTTTGTTAGTTGCCTTCTAGCCTCCCCGTCGATAAGACAGCTGTGTGAGTCGGCTCCCACGACGAAGGCTTCTAGGCGGGAGCCACAATTTCCCGCGTGTGCGCGGTCCGTGTCAACCCACACCGCTGCAGTAGTCGTGTCGTATAAATCAATCAAGTAAGAGAACATAAAGGAACCGCCTGGGATGGAGCAGACCTTGACGGACACGTCACTCCCACCAGCGAGGTCATCCCTGTCGGGGGATCGGTCCCCGTCCAAGAAGGCATTCACACTGAGGCGCCTGCCATGGTAACAGTCCTCCGGCCACCAACTGGGGCACAGTACACCGCCTACTAACCATGGCGGTCCGCACGTGTCAAGAGGCGTCTTCGTAGTTGACCTCCATGCCTCACCCACCTGTGCCGGCCTCGCCCGCCACCCGGCAACACGGTCTCCCACGGTCGCAGGAATAGGCGAGTCAAAATATATGGCGGGCGCGGTATCGGGGACTTTACTGCCGTCCTCGTATAAAGTAACATCGCCAACGGATACGAGGCGGATGAATTCGCGATACATGTCTGCCGCCGCGGCAATATAGTTTGGCCAAAACTGCCGGAGCTTGGTGGACCATGGAGAGACCGCCAAATCCCCGACGGACCTCACATGGACGACCAATTCATGCATCTCTAGGTATAGCTTGCTCTGCTCGATAGCAAAGCACCAGCCCCTTCCTCTGTTCTCGGGCCTTACCACCTGGGCGGCGAAGCCGAGGTCGCACACGTCCCAGGGTATTGGGCATGGGCCACTGACACGGCCTTCTTCCAACGCAACACTCCATTTCTCGGCTATCTCTCGGCGTGAGGCTAGAAAAATCTCCAGCTCGTCCTTCACAATATAGGTCGGCCGAGGCTTGTTTTCGCCCAGTATGTGGATGGTCTCTCCCTCAGTATCGGTGCTTCGGTCGGACCACGCACAGGCTAACTCGGGGGGTGCTGGTCCAGTGCCGCCCTCGCCGCACGAGTCGTAAAGGCTCCAACCATCTCCATCTTCGTCAACCCGCTCACTAGGGTTGAGTCTCCACATAAGTCGGCTAGACGCCGGGTGTGGGTCGTCTATGGGAGCGACAGGGGCTCTGCTCCCGCCACAGGAACAGTGCATGTTACAACCCCTGCACCTCTTGCACGTAGAGGGCGTGCCGCATTCTGGCGTTGGGCACCGTGTGCAGGAACAGTGTGTGTGACACCTCCCACATGTATGCGTCGCATCTTGGGGACACCTTGATACTCGCCCAGAGGATGTGGTCCTCGCATAACCGCATGCGGGCATATTGGGCGACTTGGCGGTGCTCTGCGACTAGGCCTTTTCGACAAATCCATCCGCACTAGGCCACTTGTGCAAATAGAATGGGCATGCGCATTTACGAACTGTATACTGTACGCACCTGCGCAGATACGGTATAGGCATTGTCATTGCCAACATACTCAACCATTTATCAAATTATAAATATTTTGGATTGCAAGCAATGTGAATTGAGATTACGAAGTCAAATTGTGCGCTTTCCGTAATATCCAAATTGCGCGGTCTTTTAGGAAGTCTCCCGCTCTTTTCCAAAACGATACAGTAACTTCGGAAGAACAGAGGTCTTCTGCAAAGTACACACCCCACCGCATCGAAAGCCCTTCCCCATGTCTCCCTTTACTTCAACTAACGCAGCTACTGCCCTCTCTCTACTCGCAGATGCAGCGGTAGAGAGAGAGAATGAACTCGAAGTACAGCTGTCTCAACCGCTCCGAGAGGACATTGACGAAGAAAACGGTTCCGAGTGTCCCATCATGGACACTTTTTATGATCAGAGCGGGGCAGAAGGTATCAGGGAGATGACTAACTTCTCCCCAATGAAATTTGAAGGGGTTTGGGAGGCGTTTAAGGGGCACATAATGTCCGAATACAATGTCGGACGAGGACGGAAATGTGACAAGACCGCCAAGGATGTGCTTTTCATGGCACTAGCCGGCTTGAAGCATGGATTGCAGTGGGATTTCATGGGAAACATGTTCGATATGAAGGTGGCAACATTTGAACGCATCATTCTAAAGTTTGTCGCAATAATATCTGGACCAACATACGAGCATTACGTTTCCCCTCAAGCCAGAAATGGAGTATGAAAAAGATAGTCGATAGCAACGCTTTGTTTCACAACTATCCGATGGCCCGCTATGCCACCGACGTGACATTCCAGCCATCAAATCGCCCGAGCGGGAACTTGAGCAAGAGTAAGCTGTACTTTAGCAAGAAACATGGCTTGTATGGATACAAAATTGAGGCATCCGTTCTGCCAAATGGGATGGAAATTGGCTGTAGTACCCACGAGCCTGGTTCTGTATCTGATTTTCGCATTTTTCAGGACATGCGACACTTTCACAAGGAGCAATTGAAAAAGTATGCTGATGAATTGGAGCTGGAGGATGATGGTCCAATGGAAGACGAATATCCACATACATGGGGGATTTTATTAGACAAGGGCTATCAAGGTTCTAAGGAGTTTTTTCGTGCCATCCATCCGACTAAGAAGGCGCGTAATGGTGTTCTGTCACCAGCACAAGTTGCAGAGAATCCACATATTCAAGCGACCGTGTACTGGTGGAAACTTATTTTGGGAGGATGTCGGGCATTTGGAACGTTGTGGCGTCAAAATGGAAATGGTCAGAGAAAATATATGATTCTATATTCATGTTGTCCCTGGGGCTGACGAACTGACATATTCGGTGGAATCCCCTTAGAGCAGATGACGGACGTCTGTACCATAAGATTACCAATCGTTGGTACAAGATTGGTACAACTCAAATCGAAAAACGCAGACGCGTACAGACCAACTATCGTGAGAAAAGGCGTAGACGTGTTGATATGAGGTTCCGCGCAAATCAAACTACTGAAAGCCCAGAGTAAATAGTGTGTTAGCATGCTGTTATACGCAAAGCATCATCGCTTTAGTAAATTCGCTTTCATTATTAGCATATGGGATATTCCTGGAATACCCCACGTATTTGCGGAATTGTTTGGTGCACACAGTAACTACCAAATACTATTGGTAACTCCTAAGTCTTTGAGAAATATCCACATGTTAATGTGGGAGCCTCATATTTCCGGATGTGTTTTACTGTAGAGATCATGACCACATAAACAAAGAATGGCTGCATTTACGAAAAACACATCAACTTTACGTAAAGACAGAGCGATTACACAATACAGTATCAATTATCATAAACAGCGTCGAAATGCAGAATTTTAAATTTTTTTACACAACCCCGCCCCTTTGCGCATTGCCACGCCAAACGCTCATAAGACACATTTCCCACCGAATTCACTTCAACATTGCGCATTAACTGTGCACAAATTCTGTCCCAGCGCTATCACCAGACCAATTTAGCTCCTTTTCTTCTCACACTATGCCGGTTTCTCCCAGTCGCTCCCGTGCCCGTCTTACACCTCCCAATGCTCCTTTAGCGGAGCATGTCGACGTTAATAACGCACTGAGACTGCTTGCCGATGCAGCTGTTCAACGCGAGACAGAAATTGACGAATACGACATCGACCCCACAAAAGAAGACTCTGATGACGAATGCACGTCCAGCTCTCCTGTGTTTGATAAATTTTACAACACAGGAGGATCTGAGGCGATCGTGCAAATGTCAAACTTCGATGTAAATGAGTTTGGAAAGCTTTGGCTTCTCTTGCAAGACCACGTCACAACTAACTGGAATGTGGGGCGAGGACGAAAGTCACAGTTTAGTGGCAAGGATGTTTTGTTGTTCACTTCGACAGCACTTAAACACGATGGGCAATAGGACTACTTGGGAAGCCTGTTTGGTGTGAGTGGTCCTAAGTTTGAGCCCACAGTTATGAAGTTTATTGATGTAGTTTTCGAAGAACTATATGAGACTTTAGTGCTTAACACGGGGGAGTCTTGGCCAATGACAAGGATGCTACAGACACAAAAGACGTTTAAGACATTTAAGTTTTGTCGTTATGCTACAGATGTTACTTTTCAGCAAGCTTTCAGACCAAGTGGATCTATGGAAGAGGGAAAGAAGTAATTTAGCGGAAAGCATAAGCTGTACGGTTATAAGGTGGAGGTCTCCGTGTTACTAAACGGACTGGCTATTGGATGCTCAGATCATTATCCGGGCTCCGTTGCTGACATCGACATTATGAGAAAAATGGAAGATTTTCACATTGATGCTATGTCTAAGAAGGAAGGCGAGATGGACATTGCAGACGTTGGCATATTATGTGAAAAGTATGATAATACCTGGGGACTATTGGCTGATAAGGGCTATCAGGGCTCAAGTGAGTTTTGCGATCTGTCATACCAAGGCGCAAACCCGTGAACGGACACTTGACGTTAGAAGATGAGGCTCAAAACAAGAAGATTTCGTCAGATCGAATAATTGTGGAAAATTTCTTCGGGAGATTGTGCACAAACTGGAATATTTTATCAAGCAAATACAGGTGGGCTGAGAAAAGTTATGATAAGATTTTCCGCTTGTGTATCAGCCTGACAAATCTCCATGTCAAGTGGCATCCGCTCCGTGCTGCTGATTTTGACCGTCACAATCAGGTTAAAAATAGGCAATACGCGATTGGGGAGGATACAGTACAGAAGAGGAGGCGTGCGCAGGAGAAATACGGTGCGAAGCGCCGCCTTCGTCTTGGGTTAGAGCTGTACACGGCCGACAGAGACAGTGATCGTTATGATTCTATCTTTGATTAATATTTGGGTACATTTTTTGTAGTACTGTAATCATCAAGTCAAAATTGAGTACACACGTTTTCATCAAAAATGCAGAATAAATTTGAAATTTATCCAGCTATACGTAGCAATCTGGTGTTTTCGGTAACGACTCAATCTTTCAGCAATATGTCGTTAATTACGCACGAAGTCTGCATTTACAGAGTATATCTACTGGCCGGGCCTCGCTAGTTGTTCTCTGGCTCTCCTCTCCCACAATTCCCGCGAAGTAAAAGTGGAAGGGTGTCTCGATCTCGATTTCAGTAAATCATGTTTTTGCGCGCAATTGCGCGCAAAAACTGCCAGATAATGCTGCAAAATGAAAAAATTACCGCTTCGGCCTTCTTCAGGCGATCCACCGATAATCGCGATCAACCATCGAAATCGAGATCCCCCATGCCTTTTGAGGGTCCCTGTAGCCCATCTCCATGCAGTGTCTCCTTGCCCATTAGCCTCGAAGCTTCTTCATGGCATGCTTGAAAAGATGCATGCAAGGTGTTAAGCGCTCTGAGTCTCTGCGGCACGGATATTCATGATATACGGATACCGGACCCAGCGGAATTTCACTAGATCCCATATGTCCGAAAGGCAGCCCCAGTGAGATGGTCCTGTGCCGGACCGGCACTGCCGGTGGTCCAGTCTGATCCAAACCTGAATCTCGAGTCGGACTTCGAAAGTCGAAGATCGAATCACGGCAATAAGGAGGGAGTCCCTCCCTCCCTCTTTCACCGGCACACGTCACTCCGCTCCACGTCATGACTTTCCGTCTCCGCCACCGCGCCTCCTTCTCCACCTCCACGGTCTCGCAAGCGCATCAACTGCACATCCCCCGCTCCTCTGCCGCACCAAAGTAGACCTGTACCTGGCGGCTTACCTCACAAATTCCCCCATCCACCTCCATCAACGAGGCTCCGCCTCCGCCCTAGGTCTCTGCAGTGCACGTCGTGTCCGTGTCAGACAATGCTTCACACATTGCCTTCGTGCCACGCGATGAAGGCTGCATCACTCTCGTTTCCCTCAACACGCGCCCTTCGTGTGTTTCGCTGTTTTTATCCGTCGACATAAATCCCGCCATTGCTACCTCGGTCTACTTCTTTTCTCTTTGTCTAGCAGAATCTGACGCCCCAACTACGTACGTATGAATCGGTTCCGCTACTGGCTATGTCGCCCTCTTCTCCACACTCACCTGCGAGCCACTATTTATCACACGACCTGGCCCCGATCTCCCCATCCGTCGCCTCTGTCTCTATCCGCCTCTGCAGCTAGCTCCACTCGCCCCGGTCTACCTTTCGCTTTCCTCCAACGCCGCTCTAGTCGCCATAGTCGGCTGGGGCGGAACCGTTGTCCAATTCCCGCCGTCGGAGTTGGGTCTTATTGCCTCCCGCGAAAGCCCCTCATTCGTCGATCTTCGCGGGGCGGGGTGGACAGGCTGGAACACAAACATTTAGCACGCTGTTCTTGATGTCGCAGATTGCTCAACAGATCCAGATTCTATTTGCGATCTCGACCTGCCCCCAGGCCAGGCAATGCCCGTGATGTCGCCAAACGGACTGCTTCCTCCAAGTTCTCTGTCGCGAAAGGGTTCCTTTTCTCACGCATGACCGGCGAACAAACTACCCCAAACCCCACCGAAGAAGAAAGAAATGCGGTCACAGGCGCTGCCCGCTTTATCATTTCATGGGAAAATGACAACACCCCCGATAATGCATCAATCAACCTTTGTGATATCCGCCATTCTACTCGAAAATCGGTCAATGCCGTTTTGTCTCGCAGTCGCAAATCCATCGACATCAACGATATTGCTGCGTCATATGGCTTGCAATCCCAAAACTGGCGACCGTTAAGCGACTCAGTGCTTTATGGAGACCATATCGCACTCACAGAGACTGCATTAGACCAGAGCAACTCCAAAAACGCATTTTCACCACAACGAAGTCATTTTGCTGGGGAAGAGGTAGCACTTGCTGCCAAACTGCCCCATGACGCTAAAGTGGTTGAGCGAATTGCTGCTGCACCTCTCCCTTGCTCTTTGTTGGCCACGTCGCACACATTAAGTCGGATTTTCGTCCAGGATTCAAGAGACTTGTGCGTGCTGCGAGAGCTGAAGGGATACTGAGACGCCCACGTTGCCTGGATTGCTCACGAAGGTCCGTTGTTGGCCATCCTGGCTCCTCGTCTCAACGTCCTCTAGCTTCATAGGCCCCTGGATGTGAAAGGAATAGCTGCGTTTCACTTGCGACCGGGCTCCATGCTTGTGCGATCTGCCATAAATCGCGCGCTTTTCATCTAACCAGACGGACATTTGTACGAGCTCATGCGCTCAAGAAAGAGCGGTGGTGTTGCCGCCGGGGATACCAAAGAGGAACAACTCAATAGCAAAGCGGAGGAGTTGAAAGCTGCCCATGCAGCAACAGTGAATGGGGTGCAGGATATGACTGAAGCGGTTAGGACCTGGCAAAGTGGGTCGGTTGTTGACCACGAGTCCTTGCATATGTTTGTAGAGGCCGTGAAGAAAGGGCAGACGAGTGTTGCAGTCGAATGTTTGCAAAAAGTCCGCGACTGTCGGCAAAAAGTCGCCCACCTCATGACGGCTGTCCTAACTTGCGCTTCATACGTTCATCGCAAGCCGCAAGCATGTCATGAATCATGTCGACTAGCCGATAATAGAACCTCGCAGAGTACCCGACCAACGCGTCCCACCTTCACGAGTCTTGCAATTCGATTCCTCCGTCCCGGCCGCGCGACACTTCTCTCGGGCTTCCATTGACTCTCCCGCGCCACTGACTTTGGATACTTGTCAGGAAAACTCAGCATGCAGCTTTCCGAGAACTTGCGTTGACATCGAGACAAACCGGGGCTCAGGTCTTCTCGAAACTTGCTACCATACCCCACCAGCGGGCCTACTCGTCTGCACAACAACCGCGGATTGCCCCGAGGGCGAGCTGTGCGCCTCGATCGCTAATGATATCGAACCTATCTGCCTTCCCCCGCATCGTTGAAGAATTGGACCTTTTATTTTTCGATGACGACATGCCCAATCCCTCGGCGCCGGCTGAGCCGACTGGTCCAACCTCTACCTCTGGTGGCTTTACCGGCGATCCATGCGAATCTGACTTCGATTGCCAAGGGGATAGAAAGTGTCGTGGGGTAACCAGTTCGCGCTGCGATGGAGAAACCGACTGCTTTTGCAGTGTATTTCAACTGCAGCTTTGCAGAGCAAAGCTGCATTTAAAATACTCCGCAAAAGTGTGCAAAGTTTGCACATGCACATGAAGAGTGCGTGCCACGAGAAGTTTGCGCCTCGGTATCACGAGATGACGAGTCTTTCTGCTGAACTTGTCGAGAATTTTGGTGAGTTCTTAGAAGTAATGGGGGAAATCTCGCTTGTTCCTGAATAGTCTCCTGGTAAGGTTTTTGTGGCGCCCTTACCGCCGACAGGTGGTCTGACAGCCGATTCTTGCTTCGATTCTTCTGACTGCCAGGAAGACCGACCCTGCGAAGGCGATGACTGCTCGTTGGGCGATACACGTTTTTGCTTGCCCCCCGTGCCACAAATATGTTCATCAAGCACTGAGTGCGTTACGGGGGAAGTGTGCGCGATTTTGGAAGGCCTGGATGGTCCTTTCTGCTTTTCAAAAGAATTCGTGAGATAGTTTGGGCATAGGGATGTGCGAAATAGCCCTGGTGTAAGCTTAACGGGAGATGCGTGCGGGTTGGATCTGGGATGCTCCGGCGCCCACTCCTGCTTGACGCAGGAGCGTGGGGTCTGTTCATTTAATTGCATTTGTGTCCAATACCAGGTGATCATGTGTGGAAAGCGCCGATTACAAAACTGGAGAGGTTTGTGCTGCTGCGTATGTCGTGTCAGAAGGCGGCATTTTTTATCTAATAACGTGGTGGACGCCGTGCCAGAATTGGTTGAATTGCTTCGGACTCTTGCTATCAACCCTCGCCGTCACTCTGTTGAACGCACAAGTCAACTAGCTCACCTTCCTCATGCAAGAGTGAGGCGTCTTTAACGGCGATGCTGTCTGCTTCTTTCTCAAGAGCAGCGTCCAGATGATCGTCGGCATCATCGCCTCACTCAAGGTTGGCGCTTGTTACGTGCGGCAGCACGTCGTTCTCGCCCCAGACACCCAGCTCTTCAAAGTTGCTGACGCAACGAGCGCTAGGGTCGTTCTCAAAATGGATGACCTCCCCGAAAAGCTGCAGGAATTCCCTCCGCACGTCTCCATCATCCCTATCGGCAGCGTCATGCGTGACGCAACACTCCCAACTGCAGAGCCCCCGCTGTCGCGACCAGTGCGTCCCTCGCCCCGGTGCTACATCATTTTCACCTCTGGCACAACCGGTTGTAGTGCAATGCGCCTGTTAGGCAGAGACCAAGGTCCGACGGTCCAACACAAACAACAGCAACAAAAACAACAACTGCCAACGGCACAGCGCTACGGAGTGTTCGAAGCTCCCTGTCCTCTTTAAGCAGGTTTGCGGCCCGCAGTAGCTCGGATCCCTGATAGGGGGGGCAAAGAGAAGGGCCCAGCCCGGGATCGGTAAATGGTGGTAGAGACTTGTAAAGGCAACTGCTCGACGAGTTCAGAGGGGTGTTTAGGTAAACCTGGTCCGATGGGTCGTAAATCCAATGCTCGAAGAGCGCCTTGTACACCTTATACCCTTGATAAGGTCTTCGACGGGGACGTCGCAACGTAGCCCGTCGGGAAAGAAGAAAACGTAGCAGCGCTACACCGTCGTACTGCCCGATGGCAAAGTACCAACAACGGATCGGTCGCAACCAGATTCCGATGGAACCAACACTGAGAAAAGCACCACTGGTGCACTAACACAGAAGCCCGATGGCAAATGACGTCACGTTGCGGACCGCAATCCTACAAGGTGGGACCAACTCAAGATTAAGGGAAATTAGGATAGGGAAATAAAGGAAAACTGGTAAGGAAAAAGGGGACCCCCGAGCGCAAAGGATAAATTAATCTGTAGTTGAAGGGAACGTCTTGTAAAAGACGGACTTCAACCAAGCCGAAATCAGACTCTGGCAACTCGGGTTACCTTTACTGACTTGGTGGTCAGAGGGCTAAGGTATATATCGCCCCGCCGGAGCCACTACAGTAGCTCTCGGCGCTAGATCCTAGATCTAATCTAATGTTAAATAACTAATATGCAACTAATTAAAATTAATAATTAAAATAATAAAGTGAAATGATTTCCACTTTTGCTTGTCATACCCCATCATTTTCATTTCTTTTCACCCCCCTTTTCAGGTGCGTATTGCACTACATATCCCCCTTCTGAGCGCCCTTGCGCAACGCCCAGCCATCGTATAATCTCCTGCCGCTGCTGACCGTGTTTCCCGGTCATCAATCACTCTGCGCGGCGTTCTAGCAAGGGTAAGACGAAAACACCATGCTTCCTTCTCCATCGGAACATTCGGACGATAGTGCCACCCGTAGACGTCCGGGTGTTGGCTTTCCTCGCAAGTTCGAAGTGCCCCGGGGTCTTCCTTCCATACCCCGTCTACCCCCTGTTACCATCCCCGCCGAGCCGGCCTTCCATCCGGGCTACCATTCCTCTTGGGTAGCCCGCCGTCATCCTTCGCTCGAGGAGCTGCAGAACAAAACCATGCGTGATAACGCAGCCCTGTTTGCTTCTGCTCAATGGTTCTCCTCTGTGGGCGTCCGCGACCTCGACGGCATCAAAAATAATTTCGCCGATGATGCGGGCATGTTGCCCGGTAACCTCCCTTTGCAGGCCATTCACACCTTTGACTGGCGCGCCCGCATCGCTATACCCACCTCCATCCTACGTCACTCCTCCCCGCGCGGTCGCTCCTCCTTATCCCTGCGCTTCATGGACGCTGTGCTCACTCGGATCGAGATTCCTATGGCCGACGCCCTCATACCTTCATGTTACCACTGCGACACTTGGCAGTGTCGTACGGAGAGGGAACGGCTCTACCTCTACAACCTCATCGACTGCACCTACGGTGACCCCGTGTCCGAGGCGGACCGACTGTGGCGCAACCGACGCACCGTCACGACCGACGCCATGTTTTGGACCCAAGCCATTCTTCCCACAAACTTTCGCCATACGAAGCGCGACGGTATTTTCTTTTTCCAAAATACTGTACGCTTTGAACGTCGGGTCCGATCCGACACTGGGTACTTCGTGGCGTACCAGATGATTGAGGCTCGTGAAATTTCCAGACAGCACTACACCAATCGATACCAACGAACCCTGTCCTGGTGGAGTCAATACGAGGTACGGGAACCATTTCAATCCAGGAAGCCCCTCCGTCGTCCGGGGATCCGACCCCACGTCCAGCTCCCCCTTCACCTGAGGGTCCGCTCCTCGCCCCTACCTCGGGCCCTCCATCATCTACAATTCCCAAAGAAAACACCTCTGCTGCCGCCGTTTACCATCGCCTTCTCATGGCTCATGGTGTGGAGGGAGAAGCTCTCCAGGGGGCGTCCGTGGACGACTTGCGAGTTCTAGCTCGGCTTGTCACCTCCCTTCCAAAGGGAAAATCCCTTGGGGCATGGTCTCGTTGGGACGGCGGCCACAGCACTCCCTTGCGACTTGTCCTTCTTTTCCCATCCTGCCCGCATTATAGTCGACTAGCGACTTTATCGTACGACCTTTGGGCGATAAAAAGAACCCACCTGCAAATCCCCCGTTATTTCCAACTTCCTCCTCTTCTTTTTTTTCTGCGTCCCGTCACTGCCGTCGTACCCCTCTTTTCACCAACTTCCTCCTCTTTTGCACTTTCAATTCTCCCTTTCCTGATTCCCCAATGTTTCCATCTCTTCACTCCCTCCTCTTTATCCTTGGCAATTTCCCCCCACTTTTCATGCGCCCTTTTTACCTCTTCAGATTCCTCGCTTACCTCCTCTTTTCCCTGTTCGGGCGTACTGTAGCCGACGGCTGTCCTCAATCTCCATCGAGCGGGCAGGAAATACCTGAGAAGTTGTGAAAGGATATGTGCTGGTTGACGCGCCAACCCGCAAAAATCTTAAACAAAGTTTCTCCGTTTGGCCTCAAACGCCAGAACCGTCAGTGCGATAGAATCCCCGTTCTCACTAGGAGTTATCTTTCAGTCGACGCCAC